CCGAAAGCTACAAATTATTCTCATCTAAATCCGACAAGGATGATATCACATCAGATAGATGTTCTTCTAAAACTATGTGATGAGAAGTTTCAGAGCCTTGGTTGCTAAGCTCTGATTCACTCTCTTCTTCGTCTTCTCTTTGTAATTCCTCGATTACTGTACTTTGCGATAACCATAAACGACTTATTTAAACAAAAAATGCTTTAAAACACCAAAACTCCAAGCTGTATTAGATAATATTGACATGTGTATGTCGCGTTGGGCGTCGCGCGTAACCTATTCGACGACAGGCGCGTGTAGTCTTTTCACCGACTGCGCCAGAGCCTAAATAATTGTAATTTGTGGAGTGTAGAGATCGCTTCAAGCAACGAAATAGTTTTTATTTTACTCCTAAAAAGATAGTGACAGGCTACTAGAAAGTAGAAATGCATGTGACAACTAAAAATAAAAATACGAACGAAAATGTATTAACCGCGGTCGATTCGACTACGCGCGCCCGCTTGAAGGTTAAAAATGAAATGATTGAACGTGCTAGCAGCTTGCAGGAACGTGAACCTATTGCCATATACCGGGCTCATTTCCAGACTCCGTGCTACTACTGAGATTTTTAAAACCCGGGAATCCAACCCGAGACCCCTTGCCTGGCAGTCGCACTTGCAACCACTCGGCCAATGATGCAGTCTTTTTCAAACCATTATTAAACTCCAGGCATTATCACTAACAATTTTATTCCTGACTATCCTTCAAACAGTATTCCATATCAGTACGGCGAATAAATATAAAACACATTTAATTTTCAGATTTAACTTATTAACTATACGGTACAAAATCATTTGTAACCTTTTTGTACCAGTGGGCGATACAATAGCGTCATACGAACAGGAAAATTGCGCGCGTAATTATCTTTACGTCATTCTCGCATACTCACGCGCAGTTACACTGAGGAATCCCCTCGGAGCTTTGTCATACCTAAAACAGCTTAGAAAAATTAAACTTTGAACACATCACACATGGTTTATATTACAGTGAACACCAATAAGACACTTGAACCGGTTTACCACTTAGAATCATTCTAAAATCAATTTTATTATCTGTTTGGTTAGGACTATATTATCATGACTCTTGTATTAAAGCAAGATATTACGTTTGTTGTAAATATTCATTTATTTGCAACAGTATGTCGCTTGCTTCATCTTGTAGTGGTTCCCTTAAGTGTAAAAGTGTAAATTATTGAATACGTTTTTAAACGATGCCTGTGGTGTGCCAAATATTTCTGGACAGGACCAGAGATGGTGTGCATAGATCTGGAGAACCAGTAAGGGGTACCCTTGTCTATTCTGTGGATAAACCAACCAAGTTTGATAGTATCTACATCAACTTTATAGGCAAAGGAAAGTGCAGGTGGTCAGAATCAGATGGTGATAACACCACATTCTACGGCAACAAAGAAGAATACGTGAACCAATCTTGCAATGTGCTGCATTCAAGGAGTGATAAGAAAATACCAGCAGGTAGATACGAATTCCCATTCCAATTCTTCTTACCACATGAAATACCATCTTCTATCAAGAATAAGACCTGCACTATAGAATATAAAATCGTTGCGGAATTCGTAAAGGCAAAGTTTTTTAACGCTACAAGCAAATTTAATGCAGAAATAACTGTGTATGCTTACGTAGACCGGACTTGTGTAGAGCCACTGCACTTTGGTCTACATAAAGATTTATTCTCGTTAACATCGAACAACAAAGTGATCGTCAAGGCAGTTTTGGACAAAACTGTGGCGGCTCCAGGAGAAAATTTAACTCTAAAACTGACAATAAACAACGATTCAGGGTTGGTTATAGTTATAAAAACCCAACTATACAGGTATTTTACTTATATATCAAGTTCTAAACGTAAAAAGGTGGATAAGGATTCGGTGAAAGAAACGGCTTCTGCAAGAACAATTAAGGAGCGCAGTGTATCTAATTTGATGTTTACAATACCCATACTGCCAAGTTTGTATTCCATACAGCATACGAAGATAATGACAGGAGAGTACAAAGTGAGAGTGACAGCTGACCTGCCCTTCCCTCACATCAATGAGGTTGTAGAAGTACCAGTAGTTATTGGTGAGAGAAGAGATAGAGTTGGACCAGAAATCATGGTTCTTAATGAAAAGCCTTCGTCTACAAAGGAAGATAAAGGGGAAAGTAAATATGATGATAATTGGGATAAATTACGTATTAGTTGAAGATTAGATTATGATGAAGATCATAGTGTCTGAATGTGTTATGTACCTACATTGTTTGTGAAGGAAGTTCGCAGTATATTATAAGTTAAAGAAGTATGGTTACTTAATCACCTGCTACTTTCATTTCTGCACTACTTAATAGTTGACTGGGAGACAATGCCCATTAAGTCCACCTGTGCATTAAACTGTCAAACACCAAGCGGTCACCGGTGACCGCAACCTATTGTTCTATAATTGTGTCTATAATGACGGTACTCAACGAGTTAAATTGAAAATGAATAAATAAATTGTGTCATGCTGCTAGTCTTCAAGGGACTTTTTATTGTTATCTACAAAGTAATGTTATATGTATAACAATTTTTGCATTATATAAATTATGTTATTTGGAGACCAAATATAAAATTATAGTTTTATATGACTGTAACTGCATTAGTACTAATACTAGTCTTTATCATATTTATGGAATAGTACAGACTTTTCATGCATTGTCTGCATATGGAGTACATGTTGATAGAATCAATTATTGTAAATAAATGTCCTTAATATTTCGGTTTAAAGAAATTTATTTCTCATAAGAACATACAGTCCACTTATAATATTTATACATCGTGTTACCAATTAAATATATTTACGTAATATTAATTATGAGTACATATTTTTTTCATATTCTATATTAATTAATAAAATATTTTCTAAGGTAGCCCTGAGATTCCTATGACTCTTGATAAGCCAGTTGTGAATGATTAAACTACTTATTGTTTAATGGTACTTATTCATAGTGACTACTCCTACATAACAATAATATGTCATAATCATGGGTACTTAGCATTCTATCTGATTTGTCATAAAGCACTAAGAGACGTATAGTAACGTCTCTTTAGCATTTAGGTCGATCGTAATAAGAACACATACCATAACAACACGCCTTTTATCCCCGAAGGCGTAGGCAGACGTGCACATTATGGTACTTGATGCCAGTGTACACTGTACACTTTTCACTATTTTATGGCACATTTTTATGGCAAAAGCCGATAAACTAGCCGACGGATCACCTGATGGTAAGCAATCGGCGTCGCCCATGGACACCTGGAACACCAGAGGCGTTACAAGTGCGTTACCGGCATTTTGGGGATTAGGATTGGGGAGATTGGGGAAGGAGAGGCTAATTGGGCCTCCAGTAACCTCACCTACACGACCGAACACAACGCAAGCGTTGCTTCACGTCGGTTTTCTGTGAGGCCGTGGTATCACTCCGGTCGAGCCGGCCCATTCGTGCCGAAGCATGGCTCTCCCACACTTAAAATTATGTTATGAGTCCCATTTAATAAGGGGTGAGCCTATTGCCATATACTGGGCACAATTCCAGACTTCGTGCTACTACTGAGATTTTTTAAACCCAGTAACTTTGCCCGACCCTTGAATTGAACCCGAGACCTCTTGCGCGGCAGTCGCGCTTGCGACTCGGCCAACGAGGCGTAATAAGTATAATTATAAAAGTCAAAGCATTTTATTACAATTAATCTTGATAGAGATAACGTAGCGAGCTATTTTTTTTTATGGCATAAACGAGCAGACGGATCACCTGATGGTAAGCAATCGGCGTCGCCCATGGACACCTGGAACACCAGAGGCGTTACAAATGCGTTACCGGCCTTTTGGAGATTAGGAGTTTGAGGACCGTTGGGGATTCAGGAATTGGGGAGTTTCATGATATAGTGCACAAAATCAAGCATTGTGTCATTATTGAAAATTAACTAAAGCCTTTAAAATCCTTGAGAACCTTGAACTTTAAAATACAATTATGAAATTTCGAATCGAAGAAACTTTTGGTATTTATTAATAACTTTCCCTTTAACTTATATTCGTTTAACATTTACATTCCAATATCAGTGACATTTAAAACCAAATTAACAAGCAAATACCAAACCATCAAACACGACAACGTTATAATAAACACGAAACGACATTTAAAATCAAACACATTAAATACAAAATGGCGGCAATCCAATATTCGAGTGGAATTTACGAATTACCCAATCGTAAGGGCGAGCACACATCATAACATGTTCCTCTAACTCCCCCTTCAGCGCCAAGTTCTATAACTCCCCCGAATAATTAACGAGGTGCGAAACGAGACGATTAAATCCTTCGTGTAAATATTTTATTGGACGAATGCGTGTGAACCTGGCTTTTAAAAAAGCTTTCCCTAAGGACGAGCGTAGGGTTGCCAACCTATATTAATCTTGTAATCTCGTAACCTTATTCAAATGTTTGCCTTGACGGTGTGACATGCTTAGATGTGGATTTAAAAACAGATTACTATGTAGACTCTGCTGAAGCTATCAGCTATCTAAAGGTTAGGTGAGTAAATGATGAAAATACACGATTTGAATCAATTTTATTTGCTGAAATGTGAGTTGTTGTGTTAAGTATCTTTTTAAGTTATATTCTACTACTAGCTTTTGCCCGTGACTTCGTACGCGCAATCCTGTTTTCTCCTGTTCCTATAAGATTTTCAAGGTTTTTATTCTATCATAAGAACCTTCTCCTGACAATAACAAACACAACAAAAAAAATCAGCCAAATCGGTCCAACCATTCTCAAGTTTCGCCGTGACAACGGGAAACGGGTTTCATTTATATATATATATAGATGAAATACAACTTTCTCTTGACTTTAAAAAAGGTAAGTAAGGTAAGTTTAAGTTTTTATTTCGCAAATGAACGATTCTTGAACAATCACAAACCGGTTCTTACATATTTTTTAATTTTAAATTACACGTAGGTTTAACTTTTTCATTAAGTAAAAAAGCATTTCTTATAGTAGGTATATGAATACAATTATAAGAATAGTATATAAAATACTAGTTTATCAAATGAACTCACCTTTATTAATAATTATTTTATCGTATATCAGAAATCGTTGTATAAGTGTGGGAGAGCCATGCTGCGACACGAATGGGCCGGCTCGACCGGAGTGATACCACGGCCTCACAGAAAACCGACGTGAAACAACGCTTGCGTTGTGTTTCGTCGTGTGAGTGAGATTACTGGAGGCCTAATTACTCCCCCTCCTTCCCAATCTCCCCAAACCCCGAATCTTCAATAATCCTCAAATTCCCAATCCCCAAAAGGCAGGTAACGCTCTTGTAGCACCTCTGGTGTTTCAGGTGTCCATGAGCGACGCCGATTGCTTACCATCAGGTGATCCGTTACCATCGGCTGATTCCATAAAAAAAGTATTTACACAATTCATTTCAATTCAACTCATTTTTCTCTAACACTTATGGAACAACCCTACACCAAAAAGCGACAAGATAACGTATTTTTGTCACAAGTACGAGTATGTATGTATATTAAGTTCGTGCCGTCTGTATGTTTGTCGGGAATTGACAGACATGTAATGTTCGAGACGTGACTGCCAAACGATGCTTTTTAACGAAACGTTCTTCGTGCTATGGTGTTTGTAAATACAAAGGGGAAAGGCTAAAGTGGGTGAAACATCTTATTGTGAATGTAATCGATGTATGTACTGCAGATGTATGTATATTTTGCAATGTTAACAACATAGATATATAGAGTATGTAGCAGTTTCAAGTTTTAATACAGTATTTGTTATATTATTTTATTCCATAAGTACGAATACAACGGACAGATTGAAATCGTACACAACAGTCTTCAGTAATCAAAGAGTGCAGAAAGAACAATTGAATGAGTGAACAACAAACCTAACATACTCGAACAAGAAACTCCAATTTCATGGGACTAGATATATTATCGCTTTCAAGATATAGATTTAGAAAGCAGGCCGGCTTCTTACTGCTGGGTTGTGACAATTTTTAATCTTTTCCTTTAATTATGAAATTTGTGCAGTCGTTTTTTGGTGTACTATTTAGTAAACTTTAATTAAGTTTAATTAAGATAATATTATCGTAATACTGTTTTTATTGCTGTTACACTTTATACCAGTTTAGTGTGAGACTTTTTATGTAAAAATTTTAATATGTAGGAATCTTAGGTAATTAGTGTTCCATAGTCTCTGCCTACCCCCATGGGAGACAGGCGTGAAGTTATGTATATGTGTATGTATTATATTCTAGCCAATGTTATACTTTGGAATACATTACGAGTAAATCTGATAAAAATCTAAACAGTTTATAGTAAGAAAGGCTTCAGACAATGATAAATCTAAAACTATTTTATACAATTCGAAAATCAACCTTGACAACTTATGTCGTTCTTAACCCGAGCCACAAATAAACTTATAGGTATTTGCAAATCACAAAAAATAACTTTATATCTTACCACAAACAGTTGAAATTTCAATGAACGCACCGTCAAACACACTGATTGAAATTGATAATGAACGGATTGTATAACAAAGGAATGATTGACAAAATTAATTAATCCTTCAATCGTTCAATCGTTATTTCATTCAGATCCCGTATTGTGTGACTTGTACTGTCAGTATTGTTAAAATTCAGTTCCAATAAAAATATGAAGACAAGAGGATTGATCAAAAAGAGCAAACATATATATCGACATTCATTTATTGTTCTTTTAGGTTATAATAAGCTTATCAAGCCCCACACAAGTGTTGGGTACTTTACTTAATCAAAAATCAATTATTTCAACTGTTCAATACAATAAAATATTAAAAAAATAATCACACTTTCATTGATTGATTTTATGACCAACTTAATTTTTGTATATTTCCAGCATTTTTTTAAGAAATAAGTATACTGTTTGACGCTAAAAAAATGTGACGTCACAATCACTATATCACTAAATAAAATTACGTAATCAGTTTCATGAAATACTTGAAAAGCTGAAATTAAAAAGAAGTCTTAAAAAAGAACCAATATAAAAGAAGCTTAAACTTATAAGAGACTTCGAAGTACACAACAGAAAAGAAACCCAAAATAAAAAATTAAAGGTCAAATCATCTTACAATATTGTTATTTTTACATCAACGAAATCTCAAAAATCAGACAAAGATTCACTTCGGCCAACAAAAGCATAAATCAAGCAGACGATAGACTTTCCTAACTTTGAATGGAAATTTATATTGGGGCGTTATTAATCAAAGTTGGACCTTACAATCTTTAACAAAAGGTATAATATTCAATACGGTTGACGATCCGAAAGCCTGGCAAATGATTGTTACTCTTGTCAGCTAACTTTAAGAACACGGCTAATTGTAATAGAGTCGACATTTCACTGAACTTTATTCAGATAGGGGATGGGTTTAAAAAGAAAAATGGCTGAATTGTGTCAGCTGAGATGATACAGAATTTGTAAAGAATGAAACGTCTTGAATGATTCTATAATTTCTATACTCTGTAGGCTTTCTTATTATACGTATAGTCATTAGGGAATATTGAACTAAAATTGTTATAAGAAAAATGATGATTTATAAAACGAAATCAATTCATATGCTATTCAATAAAATGTTTAATATCACCTGCAAGGAAGGGCACTCTTTTAAGGGTGGAAAATCGGATGACTTCTCCTGCCTGAGTGAGGCGAGAGGGAGTCAGACTGTTACTGACTAAAAACCACCTCGTTCCTACTCCTGCATTTCGACGCGGAGCCCCGGACCCCCTGTTTCAAATTTCATCTCAATCCCTTCAGTCGTTTTGCTGTGATTAAGTAACAAACACGTGGGTGAGAGCCAGAGAGAGTTTAAATGTGCGAGAGCCATGCTTCGGCACGAATGGGCCGGTTCGACCGGAGTAATACCACGGCCTCACAGAAAACCGTCATGAAACAACGCTTGCGTTATGTTTTGTCGTGTGAGTGAAGTTACTGGAGGCCCAATCACCCCCTTCCCAATCTCCCCAAACCCCGAATCCACAACAATCCTCAAATTCCCACTTTCCAAATGCCCGGTAACGCACTTGTTAGGGCTTGGTGTTTCTCGTTTACCGACTTATGCCATAAAAAAAATCATCCAAACACACACAAAACTCACTCATTTATAATATTAGTATGATTAACAAATATATTACATACTTTTTTTTAATATTTAATAGGTAATAACGGGAAAGCTAGTCATTTATGTCTTGAACAAATTTCTGAAACTTTTCCTCAAATATTTCTTCTCAATCGACTGAAATCTGAAAAATTACTCAACGAAACTGTTCGAAACATTCACTATTTAAATAAAACTTATCATCAATCTACTTAATTTAGTTTTTAAACTTTAAATTACATTACGAAAACTGAAAACTGCCACTGAAAGTTCGGAAACTACATTTTTCTAAGTGACGGTACAAAAAATGCCAAAGGCTTCTATAAAGTTGAAGAAGTTAGCTAATTTTGTTTTAGCGTTATCATTTTACTGTCGATTATAGAAAATCTTTTCGCTTGCATGTAGGTAGGTATGCCTAAATCACCAATATATGATTATAAGGTACATGGTTGGCAGGCCACAACTGTGCGCTTCTCACGTAGCTTTCTGCCTCGCACAGCAAAACTGTGGAATGATCTGTCGTCGGCGGTATTTCCGAACCGATACGATCTTCAAACCTTCAAGAAAAGAGCGTATTCCTTTTTAAAAGGCCGGCAACGCACCTATTCCATAAAAAAATGGATAATGACATCAGTCACCAGACGTCTACTGTTGAAGATAGGTCCCTTTCGACGACTTTCGAATCGGCCGATAGTAAGTTACTTGAAACCAGCTGCTTTTTGGAACCTGATCTTAAACATCTGCTATAACATTACCTCATGCAATAAAAAAAATTGGATGTTAAATTTTACTTTTAATTCATTAACAACAGAATGTCATGTATGAAATATAAATTTTTTTATGAATTTTATCCACACTTTTGATTGACAATTTAAACTCACCTGTATCATAAAGTTATAAGGTATATAATTCAGCTCAATATGTGACATGAAGTCCCCATTCCCATTCCCATACACGTAAGAAAAAAAAAATTTATTCATTACCGCCTGGTAACGAATAAATTTTAAAATTAACCACCAAATATACACACATAAAATAAGTAACATTGAAAAACAAAATTAAAGAAAAACAATAATAACATTAAAAAAACAGCAGCAAAAAACAATAAAATCAAAAAACAATATAAAAAAATAAAAAAGCAACAGGGTGGCAACATGCTCACGACAAAAGAAAGACGTAGGCGAAACCACAAGACGCATTCAGTCTAGAATATTCCACAAAACTTTCAAAGGACTTTTAATAGATTTAGACGAGGTTTAATGAAATTTCTTTTTACATCATTTGTCGTGAGTACTTCGGTTTACTTTGATGGCTTGAGTTCAACTTGAATGTTTTAAATGTCGAGAGATTTTTTGTGGATGGACATTATTCTTTGCTGGATTTTTTTAGTTTTTAAAGTGTTCATTTGTTTTAAAACTTTTATTCTAAACAGTAAATGAGCCAGTTACTAGACTGGCATAATAAGTTAAAACTAGATCATTTATAAATACATAGACGTCCTTGAATATCCTTGACGACCATTGACCGTCAGTAGCGGATTATTGAAAGAATTGTATATTATCGGACTGCTACAAGGCATAAGTACACTACAATATTAATATGGCAAAAAATAGACTAAAATAATTTCACTAAAATGTTCACGTTTACAAATCAATTCAAATTTACCTTTAACGTATTTCGACCCTAACAGATATAAGAAGAGTTATTTCAGGAACTTGTTCTCAACATTTACTATTTCTTCCACAGGATAGTCGGCGATAACGCCGGCCTGGCATGACGCGTCAACTACGTCCCGCCTCGCCCCTACACCTCTACTCACCCCTATGTGATCCAACCTTGAACATACTCACAACTGTCCTCTCCCTCTCCTTACTACTGCCTATAGTCAACACACAAATGGTTCTCACAAACTCAAGTAAAAACAAAAATTTTTCAAACGAAATTAACCTTAATAATAGTTTTACACAATTAGAAGAATATACAATTACAACAAATAAAAACGATGAAAGCGAGCTTATCAACACAGTAAGTAGTAAAAACTACCAAACACTTATAGATAGATTTAGGAGAAAAGATAAAAATGTAACAGAAAATACTGATTCAACTAATACCATGAGAAACAATGAAGAAAAATACCAATCTGACCTTGAATTAGATGATGAGAATGACAAAGGAGGGTTAGATAACAACTCTATGGAGAAACTTCGTGTAGACGATGCAACAAGAACGAAAATATTCAACGATTTCTCTAAAACAGTTAAGATTTATAAGAACTTGTCTAAAAGTGACGTTGCTGGAGAAACTAATGAGACACGAGATAGTGTTGAGATGAAAGCGAAGGTGGATCGCAAAGACATTAGAAGGACCACAAATGAATCATTAGGATTCCCCACACGAACGCCCACATCCTCTCATGTTCCTTCAATTACTGATGTTCAACAAACGCCGCGGCCCAACTTCCTCGAGGGTAAGTCAATTTAAACCTTACAGCCACTAGTTTAAGATTTAATTTTAGATCACCTTGAATAATGTACGGTTTCAGGATGGATTTGTGAACAATATTGCTTTGGAATCAAGGGTCACGATGTAACAAGGTTTTTGAAATTAACTGTCCTTAAGCTTCAAACGGTTTCAATTAATGTTTAGGTATAATGACACCTTTACCTAAGATACATAAGAGCAGTACATTTCTAACATTGTACTGTATTAAATAGGCATACTTCACATACCGTACCATTTTTTTTAATATTTTTTTTTTTTTTATAAAACTTTGTCCCACATTAGGATTTTCTCCTGAGTCGTGGGTGCGTTTACAAACATACAATTTCACATACACAATGACACCCAGACCCGAAACAACAATTTGTGGATCACACAAAGTGTTGTTCCGTGCGGGAATCGAACAAGCGACACGTTGCACGGCAGCCGGTTGCCCAGCCACCGCACCAACCATGCAGTCACTGAGTCACATAACTGAGTTATAATAGTGAGTTACAGTATTTATAAATTAAAGTTGTAATTACTTTATACAGAACAAATAATCATCAGATACTCTAGTCAACTCATGTGAAAATTTCATAACACAGAAATGGCACTGCTACACAGACACGTACAATTTGAAAGCCAAAACAAAAAGGCTTTTACATCATACATTCATGCAAAAGAGGAACAAAATATTATGCTTTCCTTTTATCTAAAAAATCGGTATTTCATAACATATAGGCTAAACGTCCGTCCGTTGGTTTGCTACGGATCGGATTTTGGTATCAAAATGTAACGGGTTACATTTTTTTTGTTTTGTTCTTTTTAAGTCGAAATTGACGTTTATATTATATCGTGTGCGGCCGATTGAGAGATATTGTGTTCAATTTCATGTTACAATATTGAGTTTTATGTATTACTTTCGACGTATATATGGATAAACCGGCTCGTTGTTTGAGTGGTGGCAAGTACAACTACCGAGCAATGCGTCTTGGATCCGAATTCTGAGCCCGACAAAGTATTTGAGCAAGAGATTTTCTCAGTTTTTTTGAATAGTTGCTATGTAGCTGGTAAAAATGGCTGATGTATTGACAACGCAATCTCGTTCTTTCTCGTTCCCGTTCGTGATTTTCGGTAAAAAGTAAAAAAAAATAATCCATAAAAAGAAGTATATTATGTCCGTCTCCTCGTCCTAATCTACCTCCCCAACAATTTACATCCAAATCGATTGAGCCATTCTTGAGTTATAAATAGTGTAACTAACACAACTTTCTTTTAAATACATACTAGCTTCTGCCCGCGACTTCGTACACGTAATCCCGTTTACTCCCGTTCCCGTAGGATTCTCAGGATTTTTTCTGTCTTAAGAACCTTCTAATAATAAAAAATACAACTAAAAAGAATTAGTGAAATCGGTCCAGCCATTCACGCATGATGCCGTGACTAAGGTAAAAAGGGATTCATTTTTATATGTATAGATATATTAACTGAAAATCGCGGGTTACTTACGTGAATATAATGCGAAAAGCTCTACTAGTTTCGAACCACAGAGGGGTTCTTTCTCATGAGCAGCGTGCGCGGTCGCGGCGATGTCGCGGCGGTGTAGGCTGCTGGTTCGAAACTAGTCGAGCTTTTTTTATAGGCAATGCATTCTTTAATTATTATCCTTTATAATGTGTATTTTTTGTTTTTGGTTTGATTTCAGTTTTCTTTTAATGTTATATAAAGTACTTAATTAGCTAGTAAGAATAAGAAATGAGCGCTTCTCGTCGTTAAACGATATGTTTGGCGAGGATCTTTAATTATAAGAACAAAATGTTAATTTTAAAATTGTACTTTTGTTAAATTAAATAAATAAAATTTTCTCAGTATGTTCACGTGAGTAACCCGCGATTTATAGTTAATTTAGTATGTGTAACGATAGTTATTGTACAGATATAGATATGCAACTCTCTCTACTCTTTTGGTTTCAAAAATATGACCATAACTATGTTAAGTAGGTAAATTATTTAGACCGAAATCAAAAATCAGTAGAAAATCTCGATACTATTACTTACATATATATACGTACATAGTCCATCTTCCCCTGTCAACAGAAGCTGCCCCCACCAAAACTTGGTACCTCTAATTTCTCTGACAACCGTGCCTTTCATCAGCACTACGGCCTCGTTATAAATAAGGGTCGAGCATTCGATTCCTGAACAGAGTAAACATCACTGATCTAAAAATAGATGACACAGATTCTTGACCGTATCTTATCAAGTAAGTTCAACTTAAATCACTTCGGCAGTTTTACTGTAATGATAGTTTGAGTAAAAAACTTCTAATAGTTGTGCAAATTTTATCAGTTCCCCGACATTCCAGGATTTAATTTTACCGAAGTTTATAATTATCTCGAGTAGTCGCAAGTGCGACTGCCGGGCAAGGAGTCTCGGGTTGGATTCCCCAGTCGGGCAAAGTATTATTGGGTTTTTAAAAAAAATCTCAGTAGTAGCACGGAGTCTGGAAATGTGCCCGGTATATAGCAATAGGCGCACCCCCTATTACATGGGAGTCAAAACATAAATAATGAAAAGTGGGTGTTACTTCTGTGTGCACCTCTGCCTACCCCTTCGGGGATAGAAGGCGTGATGTTATGTATGTGTATAACTATTTCTAGAAGTTCAATATATCTCTGTTATACAATTCATCTGAGTCAGTTCAATATTTTAGGCGAAATAAACCACCTCAATTCATCTTACTTCTTCCTAATCCTATAAATGTTAACAATGTATGTTTTTTTAAACTATTTATGTTATGAGTCCCATGTAATAGGGGGTGAGTCTATTCCCACATACCGGGCACATTTCCAGACTCCTTGCTACTACTGAAGGTTTTTACAAACCCAGTAATACTTTGCCCGACCCGGGTATCGAACCCGAGACCCCTTGCCCGGCAGTCGCACTTACGACCACTCGGCCAATGAGGGAGTGAGTGAAGTAAACAAAAATGGCAGCTGCACACGAAAAAGCAGTTTCCCTATCATATTTTATTAGCAAACCACATGGATGCGACAGTCTGAATCATATATTATTTCTTTTACATAACATATCTGCATTATTTATAACATAATATATACAAATACCCTCAGATCAAGTTCCCATAAACTACCGATCACTTTAAGAGATTTTCGACTATATTACAAAACTGATAAGATTGATAATACATTGAAGACATTGGGGTAGCTTGATGTGCAATCTCGTGTAGTGTTATTCTATAGAGTTTGGGATCCTCGTTTCGAATAAGGGATCTCCCCTGTAGTATCGTAAAATCTGATGACGGGCAAAGAGTAGTATTGGTTTTGTACGACATAGATATCAGTATTGAATAATTGACATATATACCTACCGCGGCCGATATGATTATAACAGCTCGGATAGTCCTTTGGAGTGAAGATCATAACATCACGCCTTTTTTTCCCGAAGGGTTAGGCAGAGGTGCACATTACGGCACTTAATGCCACTTTACAATGTAACACCCACTTTTCACAATAATGTTATGAATCCCGTGTAATAGGGAGTGAGCCTATTGCCATATACCGGACACATATCCAGACTCCGTGCTACTACTGACATTTTTTAAAAACCCAGTAATACTTTGCACGACCCGGGAATCGAACCCGAGGCCCCTTGCCCGGCAGTCGCACTTGCGACCACTCGGCCAACGAGGCAGTCGTGAGGAGGAGTGAAGATCAAATATAGGTAAATGTGGGTAATCCGGAACTGAAGACTTAACGGGTTACCGGGGCTCCGGCTCGAAGAACAGGAGTAGGAACTGGGTGGTTTTAAGTCAGTAAGAGTTTGACACTCTCTCTCGCCTTGGGTGGCAGTTATTGGATAATTTTCCTTCCCCCTTAAAAAAAGGCAAGGTGGTGTGATGATATTAATAAATTAATTTATAGTGGATGAGCTCAGAAGAAAGGTTTATGTCTAATGGTAGATAGAAATGGACTGATGACGATAATGGGAAGCCGTGAAGAGATAGGCAGGTAGGTTAGGTATACTAAAATAGAATCTAATTAAATAGCAATTCAAATCATTTCAGTTCAACTGTTCAAATCAATGACAATGGACCCATGGACTTATATCTTATTGAAAAAGATATAAGCTTCAACACGAAAATCTTTAAACAGAACAAAAATATTAAATATCTACTAAAATATTACTGTAATAAAGTAAAAACAAATTATTACTGGGTTTTTAACAAAGTATTGATCAACAGCCTATAAATGCCCACTGCTAAGCAAAGCCTCTTCTCACACGGAGAAGGTTTGAGCATTAATCACCATGCTTGCTCAATGCGGGTTAGCGATTACAAACTTATAATTAGAAAATATAAGCCCAGGATTCCTCACGATGTTTTCCTTCACCGTTTGTCAGTGGTGTCTGAATAAACTTAGAAAGTACATATAACTCGGAAAAGTCACATTGGTACTTGCCGGTGGTAGGTTTCGAACCCGCACCCTCATGCATGAGAGGTCTTAAACCTCCGGGCCACCACGACGTTAAAAAAGCAAAGTATTACTGGGTTTTAAAAAAAATATCATTAGTAGCATGCAGTCTGGAATTATGCCCAGTATATGGCAATGGTTCACCCGTATTACATGGGACTCATAGCATAAATAGTGAAAAGTGGGTGTTACATTGAACAGTGGCATTAATTGCTATAAAGTGCATTTTTACCTACCCCTTCGGGGATAAAACGGCGTGATGTTATGTTATGTTACTACAATATTCTGCGGTAAAACTTCTGACTTAAATTTTGTTTTACATTGAAGTTTAAAACTTTTTGTTTGAACCTCTTTCAGTGTAGATACTATGGACTAAACCAACATTGATAGGGAGCCGTAATACACTGCTCTGGAATTCTTCAGAAACTTGGTATTTTACATAAACGTACAACTTTGTCTCAAGGAACAAGATAAAAGGAATCTACAGTGTTTAATTT